CCCCCCCCCCTCCCCTCCATATCCTCTAACCCCTCCTCACCCGCCCTCACACAAGGCCCTTATCTAGTTGGGGTGCCTTCTATTTCCATCCACACATCACATGCAAAACAGCTGTGAAGAACAGCCTGTATATTTAGCTGTATTGTGAGGGCGCCGGGGGGCTGTGGCTAGCTTAGCCCATTACTGCCGCACAATGGGGACTTTGACAAGAGACAGCAAGAGGAAGGAAAGATCCTCCATGGTGAGACAAAAATAGACAGCTCAGTATGTGTTGCATTGTGGACTCAGCAAGTGTGACTGAGCTACGATAGACAGAGAGGCTACCGTGTGTTTTGAGTGTTTTAAAAGGCTTTAACTGAAGCTTTATTGTTTTGTCGACTTTGAATATATGGCAATGTTTACTGTAGATGATTTTGCTTCCCAGTGCGATTAATAGCTGAAAGAGGGCTGCAACTAACCATATCTTCTGTTATTTATTTTATCATTAATTTGCATATGGTGGTGAATAATTTCCGGGGTTACGCCAACAATTTATTATTACACTTTCATAAAGTCTGGGGACTTTCAAGTGACTGATTTAAAAAAGAAAAGGTTAAAATTCAACTAGCAGAGACCAAGATACTTTTAATTTTTTTTTTAAATGGATCCTACATTTCCTGTAATGCCACACAAAAGCATGATCTCACTTGAGTCATTCTCTTAGACTTTGCAAAACTCGGGAGACTTACAACAACGAGGAGCCCAAAGAATGCGTTTAACACCCACAATCAGTGGCCGCAAGGCTTTAAAAGTTTAAGAACTTCACATGAAAAGGTAGAATTGAAATTATGGTAAAAGGGAAAAAAATTCCAGTATCTGCTAGTTCTATATTGTGCAGCAGTACATTGCAAATTTAGTGTAATGTACCAGAAAAACTAATCTAGTGCTGAACAGCTCCACATGAAGTAAATGGAGCCTGCATAACAGCTCTCTTTTAATGGTTTCCAGTGGCATTTTGCATGTTGCCCTGGGGTATTTTGAATGGTATTAATGGAGGGGGAAGTTAGAAACTGTTGTGGTGGGAAGGTTTAGACATTCTATAAGGTGTTTATTAACCAAAGCGGCTGTCACTGGCGCATTGCTGTCAGTGTAGATATAATTAATTGAAACTCCTGGCTGCCATTAATTTACTCGTTTGGCTCTGTGGTTCGCCTGCTCACGATGCTGTGCATTATAAAGCGATTCCAGGGCCTTAACAGAGGGCATTTGAGTATTTTGACAGCTGGTGAATCCATGCAACAATAGACAAACTCCATCAGCCCTCATACTGATCTTTTCGATCAGACATCCCTGAAAGGGAGGGATTAAGTTGTTTGAGTTTGTTTTCCTGTCTTAGCCTTTCTTGCTATCAGGTGTATAAAAACTACAGGTTATGAACTTCTTTTTAAAATACAAAAATGTGAAATTATCGGTTATCTTATCGGTATCAGCCATTAGAAGCAGGTAATTATTGGTTATTGTATCCATCTACAAATGAACTCAAACGTATCTAAAGTGCAAGAAACATGTCCAATTTTCTGTCGACGCAAACATAATCAATTCTTGTCTCCAATCCAGGAATGAAGACAGGATGGAGAGGAGTGAACGACAGACCTGCACCGGGATGGACAGTATTGAAGCGGCAGAAGAACAGTAAGTTGAGCCATCGTCCCTCCAGTCCTGCATGTTTGTGTCGGTATGAGCGTGTGTGTGTTTGTGCGCCTCCGTCTGTCTCACACGCATGCACGTCTTCATTTTTAGACACCCCAGTCTAGAGGAGTTGCTGTCGTGGTCACGGAGCTTTGAGATGATGCTGCGCTCGTTGGAGGGCCGGGAAGTCTTCCGGGAGTTCCTGCGCTCGGAGTACAGCGAGGACAACCTGCTTTTCTGGTTGGCCTGCGAAGAGCTGAAAAAGGAGACGAATCCCTCAGTGGTGGAAGGGAAGGCCAGGATCATTTACGAAGACTACGTGTCCATATTATCACCCAAAGAGGTATCAGCTGTATTTGTAGTAATTCAGCAGTAGTGAGCCACCACAGATATAGAGTAAATAGAATTGTTTGTGAAATCAAAAATAATTTAACTTAAGTCATTTTCAGAGAACACCTTCGGTTTCACAAAACACCCAAAGACAGCAGCCGGTTTTCAGCCATTCTGGAAGCGTGGCTGTAGGGATGGGGGTGTTGGTCAGTCATTCGGTTTGTCCACCATTTTGTTCCAGACTGAAATATCTCTGCAACTATCGGAGGGATTGCTGTGAAATCTGGTACAGACATTCATAGTCCTCAGGTTACGAGTCGTAGTGACTAATAGCTCCAGCATGAGGTTGACTGCGGTTTTGTTTAGGCAAATATCTGAGACATTGATGTCCCTGTCAGGATGAATTCACTTTGCTGATCACCTGACTTTCCATATAGCGCCATCATGACTTCAATACTTTAATACTCTGGATTATCACCAAATATCTGCAAAACACCTTTCCATCAGCCTCAGATGTATTTGTGTTTAGTCCTAATAAGCAAATGTTAGCATGCCAACACACTATGCTAAACATTATACCTGAGCGTGTTAGCATGCTGATGCAGCCTCACAAAGTTACTAGCATGGCTGTAGACTGCAAAAGTGATCTGCCATGTTGTTGCCAGCTAAATCAAATTGTTAATTGTTAATCTTCCTGTGGAGTCTGTGTAATGCCTTAATAAAGGCCCTGGTACTCAACAAACCACTGAGGTTTATAAATTGAATTTGTTCTCCTTACTCAAGGTGAGTTTGGACTCGCGGGTCAGAGAAGGAATAAACCAGACCCTAGCGGAGCCCAGCAACCTGATGTACGAGGAGGCCCAGTTCCAGATCTACACCCTGATGCACCGCGACTCCTTCCCCCGTTTCCTCAACTCCTCCGTTTACAGAGACCTCCTGGCCAACAGGAGGCGCACCTGCCTCGACACCTAGACCCCTCCACCCTTCCTCATCGCCATCGTACGCCAACGAGACTACTACTTAAACTTCAAATACTACTATGGTGCCAGAAGTCGGGTTTGGAAAATCTCTCCCTCTTTTTTGATTGAAAAGACTGAATGACATCCGAGATAGCTGGTTGTTTTTTTTATTTATATTTTTTAAGCAATTTATATCCAGTTCTCCACTGGAGCCAGGTCGGCCTTTGCTGGTTGGTTATTGGTCAATTTAAGACCATTAATGCTGGCCAGTGATTGTTTCGCTAGTGATTTGTGCTGTTTGTTACGGTTGACTGGCCAACCCTCGTGTCAGCTATTGGTTGAAGTGGCCAACCTGATGGCCAGCTGTTGGTAAACTGTGGACAAGGACTCCTCAGGCGGTGGGGACAGAAACAGAGAGAGAGAGAGACAAAAAAAAGGACAAGCCAACTGTTCCTGTACTGTAATATTTAGACCTCATGCTTTCTACCCTCACTTCAATATTCTCTAACTTTACTCATTCTCTTTAATATTTTTTGTTTTGTTTTCCTAATTCTGTCCTTTTCCTCAGATGTGTTTAATTTTGTTTTTAATTTCTCGTCTGTCCAAACATGACACCTAGTTGTTGTTGGTGGGAGTTAGGGCGCGTCTGCCCATTTAACCAGTAGAAGCACTGGCTCTGCATGTAACTCTCTCTCTCTACAGTAGCTTGACCATGTAAGCCGTGGACTGCAACCGTTTTTTGAATATTGAGATGTATTAAGTCTCTCTGTCTGGCTGTCTAAGTTCAGTGAAGGGAAAAAGTACACTTCTGCCAATTTAAAGCATACTGCAGTTTTTTTATTGAGGAGATTTGATTGCTTCTGCAGCAAAGGCAGCAGCACCTACCCATCCATCCACCTGTCCATCCATCTGTCCGTCCGTCCAAGCACTTTCCTTCTTTAGGATTCTTTAACTGGGAGAAGTAAGGGCTAGAATTGTGGTTGGGCAGCTACATGTATTATTATTACTCATGAACTTTAAACAAAAAAAATCTCTCCACTGAGAAAATCACAATGCCTTTACATGTAAGAAAAGGCAGCACAAGCGCTGCTGGAGTTTTTCTGGAAAGCAACCACAGTTTGTCCAACGATCCCTACCTCCCATCTTTTTCCCACTCCCTTCCTCCCTCCTCCCTATTCCCTCCAACTCAGACCATCACAGCCTGACAAGCACAGGTGCCCAATGTGGGGGGGNNGGGGGGGGGGGACGCCGCTGAAGAAAATCAAAACACACCCACATTGACTCCAAATAGTCATCTACATACATTTTTAAACTCTCGCAGAAAAAGAGGGGTTTACCTTTTAGTGTTGAAGAATGAATTGAGCATTATGGAAAGCTGGTTCTGCTTGGAGCAGACGCAGCAGGCACTGATGTAATTCAGAGGGTTATTGAGCCCTGGCCTTTGTCTGTAAGGCTTTAGCTTTAGATGCTGTAGGTAACGCGACAGTCCCAGGAGGTGGACGTTCAATATCACGCTGCAGATTTGTGACCCGGGTGCCAAACATGATGTCAAAGATGCTGTGAAGAGATATTAGATGTGACTTGTCACCAGGATGTAAAGTCTTGGTCATTCCAGTGCATGTCTGTTTCTCCAGCAGATGAAGCTGGGAGAGTGTATGGTAGTCCTTCAGTTAGCTACTGCCCCTTCAAGACACTTGTTTTTTTTACCAGAGCTAGTGAAGAGGGTTGGTATAACAATGCTAACATGCTACCGTACTGGGATAGCGATGACGTTTGCGTCGTCATGCCACATGCTAGCCTTTTCAACAAGGCTAACTAGGTTTCAGCATGCTGTAGGCAAGCAGTTAGCATGCTTGTGCTAGCCATGCTAACCCTCCATCTCACTGCCAGCCCTCACACACACACACACA